ACGGAAAAAAAAAAAAAAAAAAAAAAAAAAAAAAAAAAGAAAATCTTTTCATCCCTCTTTGATCTTGAAGTAGAATTCATCTCAAATGGTAGTGTGTAAATTATTACTTGTCACCTACCTAATAGTTCAGATTAATTGTGAAAAGGAATTTTTACTTCATGAATTAGGTTAGTCCTGGAAAGGAATTTACTAACATTCCCAACAGAATATTCCAATTTCTGAACTTGGTGTACCATTGTTGTTTTGGAGATAGAGGGAGAATTGGAGTCATTCCTTAAGGATTCAGGTTCTGTGTATTTCCTGTCCTGTTGTTACCTTAGGGCTATCTTTACTGGCTCACTAATGTAGAGAAGAGACTGCCAGTATGTTCACATTTTTGAAGATTTTTAACCAGTTTGAGTTTGACCAGAATATTTAGTTACATTAAAATCTTATATTTGACCGTATGATTTACTTGGATTCCATTTTCAAAGAAATAACACTTATAAGAATCAATTCTACATAACAAGGGATTTTTGGAAAATATTATTTAATATGCTGAAGGCTGTTGTTACTTGACCTAAGCCAATTCTTTGGAAGAATATGTCAGGAAATCACAGAGATCTAGTTTAGAGCTATACAGGCTGAAGGATCACTCATCAGAAATGCTTGGGACTGTTAATTGCTTCATATTGTGGATATTTTTGGATTTTGGAATATTTGCAGAATAAATATGGTTGAGCATTCCTAATCCCAAAATCCCAAATCCATAATGCTCCAGTGAGCATTTCCTTGGAGCGTCTTGTCTGCATTCAAAAAGTTGCAGATTTTGGAGCATTTCAGGTTTTGGATTTTTGGGTTAGGGATGCTCAGTCTGTATTGATTTATCTTTGAGAGAAGTATGGAAAGTAGATAGCTATAGCATATGTTTTTAAAATTTTTTAACCTTTTTAAAAAAAATCAGACACAATATTATGCTTTTTAAAGATGCTTTTATTATTTAAAAAAACATTTTTTTTTTCGCAGCTGGCTGGTATGGGGCTCTGAACCCCTGATCTTGGTGTTATCAGCTAAATTTTGTTTTAATTATAGTTGTAGAGTATGAACATAGTTTCTTCTTTAAAAAAATTCGAGCTTTATGTTAGTTTGAGTATATGCTTTAAAAGTGAAGCTAAAGCCTCCACAAACATTTTTTCCCCCAACCTCCCTTACAACACAACCTCCCTTTTCTTCCTTCTAAACAGTGCTGTTCTAAATTTAGCATATCTCATGTAGGAATTATTTATGTATTCTGTTTACAGATCTTTCTATATATGTTGAATATATTTTCACTTAGTTTGTCGTTTATCTTTTAATTTTGCTTGTGCTATTTTTTGGTATGATAGTATGTCATTTTGACAAAATTAAGTGCATTAGTTATTTTTCTTTATGGTTTTTGCTTTCTGTTTCTTGTTGAAGGAGCTCTACCCTAACTGAAGTTCGCAAGGGTATTCTCCTAAATTTTCTTCTAGTACTTTAAAAGCCCTCAATAGAGTCTAGGCTTTTTCTAGCCTGCTTCTCAAAATTCTTCCAGCCTCTTCCCATCACCAGTTCCAAAGCTGCTTCCATATTTTCAAGTATTTGCTATAAGGATCACCCCACTTCTTAGTACCAATTTTCTGGTACCAAGAAAATAGTTCAAACCCCATTTATTGAACGATTTGTCTTTTCCTCACTGTTTTGAAATGTTACTTTTAGCGTATATTAAATTCCCATGTATAATTTAGACTCTGTTCTTGGGCCAGTACTCTACAGCTTTAACTCCTGTACTTTTACAAGGCTACAGTCCTTTATGAGAAACCCTGGGGGGTCACATGTTTTGCTGTCCAGAATTTTTTCCCGTAATACCCAGTGGGCATTGTGCAGTATCCTGTAATTACACATTATTTTCTCAGTGAAATGTATGAATAGTCACACTAAGTGGGATGCATGTAAACAGTAAGTGACTTTGTATCAGATCAGGTCAGGTTTTGCTGAAAATGAGTTAAAGAGAAAAAAATTTATTTTCAGCGCTTTTTGGATTTTTACGTTATAAATTTATCTTGCTATTTGGGGGCGTGTTCCTTCCTTGTTCATTGATTTCAAATTGTTTTTATTTTTCTTGTACCTTTATTCTTCTATTTGAAGTTTAGACTAAGCTTGTTGAGTTATGTAAAAAATCCTGTGGAGATTTTCTGTGGGATTGTGCTAAGTAGTTGAGGAAGAACTGACACCTTTACAGTGCTTGTCTTCTCTTCCGTGAACATGGATAAGCTTTCTTTTGTTCAGTTCTTAAATGTCTTTCAGTAGTTTTATAGTTACAGGGTTTTTTTTTCCCCCAGAAATGCTTGCGTATTTATGTTAGATTTATATCAAAGGCTTTTATGCTTTTGTTGCTAGAGTGAATGGGATTAAAATTTTTTTTAAATTAAAAACTGCATTTTCTAATTGTTATTACCGATGTCCATGAAAGTATTGATATTTATACACTGATCTTGTGTCTGATGAATTTGTTGAGTTCTGTTATTAGTTCTAATAACTTGTCAGTTGATTATCTTGGGTTTTCAGTTTGAAAATCATATATTAAAACATTGAATCCTATCTCTTTGTCATTCTTTACACCTCTTTTTTCTCTTCTAGTTACAAGGCATGTTTTCAGTATTTAGTTTTGAGATATGTAAATATTTTTAAGAAGGTGTTTACTTAGAGAATAATTGCAATTTGTGGTAATGGGCATGCTGATAGTATTGATCTGGCCTTCACATCTTGGGCACAAGTGGTGATGGTCAGCTTTGTACCTTATGAGTATGCATAACCGGAAAAAAAAAAAAAAGGCTAAGAAAAATATATGTCTTGAGGACTGAAAATCAAGTTGAACATATATATGTCAGCCGCCTAACCTTGTAGTTTAAAGTTGTTGAAAGTCTGCAGAACTGCAGGATGTAGTTAATAAAATTGCCTTTGAAAAATAGTGTTTATATGCAGAAAAAATAATCGCTTGAACTGAAAAAAAAAAGATGGTGTTTACTGTGAAATTGTGCCGTGATCACATTTTGAATGCATGAATAAATAGATGATAGAATGGGGGATGTTTCTCAAGTGGGGGTAAAGGAAAGTTTCTGAAAAGGGAAATATTTATTATTGGAGGATTTAATGTGTGATCTTTTCATTACAGATATGGTGTAAGATATTTCTTCAAGATTGGACAGCTGGGGACCTGTTACTTCTGATTAGCCTTAAGCCAACTTATAGCCATAGAGAAACCTCACGGAGTTCCATTTTTTGTTTTCTGCTTCACGCCTTTCCTGACACCTAAGTTCACCTTGCAATCATGTATGGAAGTGCTCGCTCAGTTGGGAAGGTGGAACCAAGCAACCAGAGTCCTGGGCGTTCACCTAGGCTTCCACGTTCCCCTCGCTTGGGTCATCGTCGAACCAATAGTACAGGAGGGAGTTCTGGAAGCAGTGTTGGAGGTGGCAGTGGGAAAACCCTTTCAATGGAGAATATACAGTCCTTAAATGCTGCCTATGCCACGTCTGGCCCGATGTACCTAAGTGACCATGAAAACGTGGGTTCAGAAACACCTAAGAGCACCATGACTCTTGGCCGGTCAGGGGGACGTCTGCCTTATGGTGTTAGGATGACTGCTATGGGCAGTAGCCCCAATATAGCTAGCAGTGGGGTTGCTAGTGACACCATAGCATTTGGAGAGCATCACCTCCCTCCTGTGAGTATGGCATCTACTGTACCTCACTCTCTTCGTCAAGCAAGAGATAACACAATCATGGATCTGCAGACACAGTTGAAGGAAGTATTAAGGGAAAACGATCTCTTAAGGAAGGATGTGGAAGTAAAGGAGAGCAAATTGAGTTCTTCAATGAATAGCATCAAGACCTTCTGGAGCCCAGAGCTGAAGAAAGAAAGAGCGCTGAGAAAAGACGAAGCTTCCAAAATCACCATTTGGAAGGAACAGTACAGAGTTGTGCAGGAAGAAAACCAGGTTAGTTTTATATGTGTGTATTCCTTTATTGGCTGAATTCACGTATATAAATGAAATGAGCTGTTTTGTTTTTTTTCTTAGATTTTCCCCTTGTTAATTTGTTTATCTCCTTTTTGCTATCCTCCATTACTCAGCCTTTTCCGCATTTGGTCCTGTGTCCTGTTTTGTTTTTTTTTCTAGTTACCATATCTATTTGCTCTCCATTGTTGCTTTTTTCTTATTCCTGGCTTCTTTCTTTCTTCCTGTCTTTTCTTTCATCATATATTATCTTTATTTCAATTTTTGTGAGAGTATAATTTTGCCATATACTCTTAACATTCTTTACCAAAATTATTTAGACTATGTAACTGAAGCGTAAGGTATACCATTAAGATATGTCATAATAAATGTCAAAAAAGTCATTTTAAAAAAATACCCAGCTGTCACAACGTAAATCAATATGTTGTCAGGACAGAACAAATCACTTTTAAAAAATTAATTTTTATGATGTGAATATTAAGTAGTAACGATGAGTAACTTTTTTTTCTGTTGACATTCATGAGAGTTTTAAACTTCAGGATGATTTTGTGGCTTTTTTTTGTTTGTTAATTCTTTAAATTTAAGGTGAAGGAAAGGCAACTTGGTGTTTTTGGTTGCTTCTACAAAATAAATGAGATAACTAGGCAGTAGAAGTATGGGGCTTTGCACTTTAAGAGCTAGGTGTTATCTTATTAGCTCTATGAAGAATTCATTTATTATTTTTCTGCATTATAGTTGATGTTTGGCAATAGCAATCTCACATTCAGTGACATATCTTATGACTCCAAAGATGTGAACAAATCATATTCAGGCTCCAGCAATTAAAATCTTAAGTATACTTTTTGTTTAAAAGACTTTTAGAACATTTCTTAAACTTGTGCGTTTAAATTATATGCCTCCTTAAAAAAGCTGCCTTACACTCTTTATTTATTTATTTATTTATTTTTTCCTTTTTTGTCTTTTTTTGTGACCGGCAACGGATCGTAACCCTCAGTGTCACGCCCGTACCGGACCGGGACCGGCAACGGGATCGCAACCCTCGGTGTTGCCCCCACACCTCGCTCAGCCAGTGAGCGGCCTGTCTGTATGTGGGATCCAAACCCTCGGCGGGAGCGCTGCCGCACTTCCCAAGCGGTGCACTGTAGCAGTGCGCCACTGGGCCGGCCCTGCCTTACACTCTTTTTTTTTTTTTTTTTTTTTTTTTTTTTTTTTTTTTTTTTTTTT